AGCCAAAGAGGTAGTTGCTAAGTAAAAAGTTTTGGCTACAAAAGAAATTAAAATGAAATGTGACTAATAATATTTTGCACTACTTCCATACTATATTCTCATGTACTTATCAATGTAAAAGGACAAATAATTTTGTAATTAAATCTATTTTATTATGGTTTTTGTAGTCAGTTGACTTTTTTGTGGGTGGTAACGGGTAGTGAACGTTAACTGCGATTAGCGGGTCGAATTTTGGGAACCAGTTACAACCCTAGTATTTTCAAGGATTTTTGTTGTTTGGTAATCATGGCTTGATCATTATATAACACGAAACAAATTATTTTTCTTATTCAGTTCGTGGAATTTAGATATTGGGATATGTTTATTACATACATCTACAATATGCATCTACTTGATACCTCCTTTCTTAGAAATATGTTTTATAAACTTATAAATTAATTTGTATGATAGACTGGCTTAGCTATGCAAAATGATTGCAGACATTACGTACTGGCAGGGTTATGCTGGTCAGACCACGTCTTCCCTACTTTCATGTCGTAATTCATTTTTGACAATTGCGAAAAATTCTAACAACTATACTTATGTGTGTCTAACAAATATTTATAACACGAGTCTATTTATACCATTTGTTTTGCATAAAGCATCGTTGGCTTGCCTATATGTATCTCAGATATTAGGTGCCCAGTGTCACCAGTACTTATATTGCTAGAAGTGAAACTGTACAAAATTCATCTTCCCATTTATTTAGTGTTGTGGATCATATTGAAAAAACTAGAACGATATGGCCATCATGCTAATCAAGATTTCAGCTAGGATGGTTTTTGTGTCCTTTATCGGTTTACATTTATCTTCTGGCACTTCCAGTCTGTGGACAATTCCCGACTTATTTTCCGACAACTCTCTGCAATTTATAGTAAGGTACGATAAAAATACCATACACACAAGTGACCACGACCCCCATATTTTCACCACATTCGTACAAACAATCCATACTCTGCAGTCTTATTGCATCATTTTTTACTACGCGGTTCCCGAATCCTTATTTTGACTCGTGTCGGTCCTCGTACCCGATCGCAAAAACAATTAGTCACATTCCTCCACTTAAACGACGTTATCCTTCGCAAAACATATAAGGGTTACCCGGCACATCCTGTTTTGCATACAATTATCTTAACACATTTTAATCCACAATATTTATTTCAACATTGCGAAGATCCTCGGAATCCAATAAACTACTTGGACTACCATACCCATTATGGCTCTTCAAAACTGATTTTATTTGGTTATAACAAACCCCAACTCGTCCTAACCCCTTGTATTGTATCTTCTCTAATGCCCCCACGTGTTTCAATAATCAACAAAGACTTCTCGTTATCTAAACTCGCAGCTGTCTGGAATTCTCTAAATGGGAACTTACTTATGAGACCCGTAGGAGTGCGTCCTTTCAACGAAGGCCTTGAATGTAGCGTAACTCTCTCCAATTTCAAGAAAGCCACGACACCGGAGCAATGTAGAATACTTTATTTGTCCAGGATTCACAATTTTTCAATCTCAGAACATAAAGAGATTGACAATGCTATATCATTTTTTCACCTCAACACTATACCCAATGATTTAAACTTTTACGTGTATGTTAGAGGAGGTATGGATGTCTTTAAATTGGTATATAGACCGGTAAAATTCTCCATTGTGACACACCAGCGGTCAGAATTTCAAGGAATGTATGCCTTCCTGTTACCCTTTGCGGCACCAGTGTGGGTCATATTATTCTTTTTTTGCATCATGGTAACAGTGCTTATCCAACTTAGCAAGAACAAAACTGCTGGCTTAGCCATGATTGATGATTTTGTCATGGTCAGCGCCATCCTGTTCAGTCAAACTAATGGAGATAGTTTAAAACTATTTCGCGGCAGAAACACTGTGGCGAAGCCGGTACTAACGGTATGGTTTTTAGCTGGGTGTTACATAATTACGAACAATTTGTACACAGGGGAGATTTTTTCATATTTAACATCCACAAAGGAACCCGTTGTGCCAACTTCTCTGGCAGAACTAGTCGACTCCAACTTGCCAATTATTACAACGACCAGTTATAGTTACAATAGAGGTGTTAGGCGGCGGCAATCGGTCCTAAAAACGAGTCTGATACCATCAGTTGTACAAAATCTTAAAAACAATAGAAAATTATCAAAGTTGTGCTTAAGATTAAATGACAAGTTAGGATTTATCAGTATTGGTTATTCTATCCTAAATAAACAGACATTGCTTACCTCCATTATGAAGTCACAGCCTATGACAAACGCAAAGATTTCTTTTCCCGTGGATGGCACATTTTCTATTATGGATTATTCGGAAGATCTAAATTTAATGACAGAATTAATTAAGATTTATGAGGGACGCCTCGTAATTAACGGAAATAGGGATAATACCCCATTCAGCTACATCACTTTCGATATCCGGTACAACGACTTTCTATCGCCAATATTTCATAGAACGCTCACCCATCTGGAGGCGATGGGTGTGGAGGAGAAGTGGAAAAAATTACAAACTAGGAAAATGACTGCGATGCAACTATATTACACCAAGACTCCCAGATACAGGTGGTACTTTTCGAGAAGAGAAGAGAAATCCATGACGTTCCTCACCAGGAAGCTACACCGGTTTCCGTTGAATCTGTGCAAGCTGTATTTATTTTATGCTTAATATTTGTACTGATTGCATTAATAAAATTTGTTGTGGAGATTAGGTATATTTTGAGAAGGTTTGGTGCAAGGGTACGTCGTAATATTATACTGTTCAAGACAAAATTGTATACCAGCTTAATCCGTGTGATTTATGTAATGGACAATATGAAAATATTTAAGTATTAACTATGGCAATTCATATCCCGTTAAAAAAACGATGAAATTGGTTCCAAATTAACTAAAACTTTATATACACCAATACTTTTTTTCTTCTTTTCAGTGGTTGTATAATGTTAGCATGTAAATATAACTTTTGCGTGGGACAATCATCTTGCATTGTAAACCATAATTTTATTCAAACTGTGAAATAGCGCGAATTGCAAATTTCATACTAATTAAATTTATGATAAATTGATACCCGACTGGGACAAATATGGGAGCATTTGTTAGGAAACCTCCATTAATAGTAAATACAGATAAAGTTACCGCTACTTTATTCATGTATATCTCGGTTGATGGTTACTGGAACCATTGTATAATGTACATAGTTTGTGGGGTGACCAGATAACTCATTAATAAAGATCGCCAAGCCAGCGGCGGTGGGACATAGAAAATGTAATGACTGGTCCATTCGAATTATTCACAGTTTGGGTTTATGCATAAATATGTATTACTACATATGTATATTGACAATACTTGGTGACGATAAGTGAATAATTACCATGGAGGCGTTCTTTGATATGCAAGTTGTCTCACAAGGGACACTCACGACCTGTCGTTTGAGTCCAGGGTACCCACTATGTTTTTCAGAATCTACTAGGACCCCAGATGAAGGATCTATTCATATTTCCGTGTAAAACTCATATTTGGCGCCATGGCATGGCGCCAAACTTAAAAATTTGCATTTTCGACCAATTTCAAACCCCCATAACTTTTGCAGTTTATGTCGGATTTTTAAAATTTTATGCTTAAAATGATCAGAAAAGTCGAAATTTTAGAAAAAAAAATAAAAATAAAAAAATTTTAATTTTTGAGATATTTTTAGCATTTTTTCGACGAACCCGAAATTTCGAAATTTTGCGAAAAGTTAAAAGCGATAATTTTGGAAAAAATTTCATAGAATACGAAAGTTGAACACCTTGTCATGATTTTTGCCAAAAATTTTGAAAATCCGTCCAGGATTTCAAAAGTTACGGCGGTTTTAAAATGAAAAACCATCAAATTTGGCGAATTTGCGCCACGCCATGGTGCCAAATATACAGAGTTTTACACGGAAATATGAATGAATCCTTCATCTGGGGTCCTAGTAGATTCTAAAAAACATGGTGGGTACCCTGGACTCAAACGACAGGTCGTGAGTGTCCCTTGTCAGTGTCAAAAAACATTGTAGCAACAAATGACTTTATCATGGACTTAATATTTACTAATGTGTACATAATATTTTAATTCCATTTTCCCATTATAATTACACACGTTATCATATCACATACATTGCACGTAACAAAAGCTGACTATAAAGGAGTTGTACATCTAAAAATCCCTAACCTTAAAAAAAGTTCGTAAAAATGAAATGAAATAATAAAAAAGTCAAAATAAGTTAAAAAATACATCAAAAATAGTACACTTCCTCCAATTCCTCGCCGTTCCGAAGTGTACCTAAGATTGGCGCCACGTTTCCCCGCTGAACAGCTAGAGAGATTCGTTGGCGGAGAAAGGTGACAGCATTAGGCTGTCCGATGGACTTAATGAAGTGATAATTCTTCTATATCAAAACTGATTTGTACAAATCGCGCTGACAAGAGTTAATGACAGGAAATGTCCCCACCAAGAAAAGGATACAAACTATGAATTTCTTAGTATGAAAATTTGGTGTAATCAAGTGATAAAATTTAGAATTAGAGTTATCGGACGACATGGTTGTTTTAATTCAGATATATTTATTCCTAGCTTTCGATACTCACTAGTATCATCTTCAGGGACAATATTTGAAATCAAGAAAACAAGATTGATTTCACTCACAATGCTAATCATAAATTATTGTTGTTATTCAAAAACGGTATCGTTGTCAGGGGCGCTTGATCAGTGGTAACATTAGTGAAGACCAGATAGGATTCAGGTTCATGCCGTGGTCTTGATTCATGGTGTCGGAGGTTTTACGGATGTACAGACTTTCAAGAAATTTTCTGTGAAAATTTCGCCGCTCGGGTAGAATTAGACTTGCTGAGTCTTGGTTGATATTGTGGTTGGGATTCTCCATGATGTGCAGTGCCACCGCTGATTTTACGTTTTTCTTTTTGATGTCATTTAGATGTTCTTTTACTCGTTGATTAAGCGGGCGGCTTGTCTTACCTATATAAATGGAGGGACAAGAGCATTTAATTTTATAAATTCCTACTTTATCGGATGGTGGATTCTCCTTGTAGGAACAGATTATTTGTTTCATATTCTTCCCAGTCAAATATCCGAACTCGCAATTTAGGTTATTGCGTAAGTAATTCGTTAATCGGTGGGTGAGTGGTCCCATATACGGTAAGATTATTCTTGGTGATTTTGCCTCGTCTTGATTTTCATGGTTAGTAGGTTGGGTTGAAAATTTTGTCCTCATTTTTTCTATCCTTAATTTGATTAAGTTTTTCGGATATCCGTTTGTCATCAAAGAGCTTGTTATTAAATTGAGTTCATTTTCTAGATATTCGTCATCGCATATTTTGAAAGCTCTATAACTGAGGGCATCTATTACAGCCAACTTTTGGGATGGATGGTGGTATGAGTTATAGTTGAGGTATCTCCCAGTGTGCGTCGGTTTGCGATAAACTTGTCTGTGAATGGTTCCATCTTCATCTCGGGATATTATGACATCCAAAAATGGCAGCTTGCGACTTTCTTCTGTTTCACATGTAAATTGGATACTGGGGTGAAAACTGTTAAGAGATTGGAGGATACTATCCTTCTTGCCTGCCTTGATACAGCCGTTGGGGTCATCCACAAACCTTTGGTAAAAAGGAATGTCTGGATTGTTCAATATTAATTGTTCTTCTAATTCTTGTAGACAAAATTCTGCAAAGACCGGTGAAATTGGGCTTCCCATTGGTGTTCCATCTTTTTGTCTGTAAATCTTTCCTTTTCGGGTAAAATAGTTGGAGTTGACTGTGATTAGTGACTCTGGTTAGTTTCATCACTTCTTCCGAGGTCAGTTTTGTGACAGCTTTCCAATCGTTACAGGAGTCCAATCGTTTCTTAATATAATTCAGGGTTTGTTGTATTGGGACGCGTGTCAATAGTGAAGTGACATCAAATGAGACCAATTCATGGTTGGGGGGGGGACAATGAAATTCTTGATTTTGTCTGCAAATTCATATGAATTTTTCAGAGAAGTGGGGAATTTGGACGTGACACATTTTAGAATCTTGTTGAGGAAATGAGCTAGATTATAAGAAGGTGAATTTCGGAAATCCACAATCGGACGAAAAGGTACACCGTCTTTATGGATTTTGGGGAGTCCATAGAATTTTGGGATCTTTGAGTTTGAAGGAGAAATGTGTTGGTATTGATTTTTGTCAATTCTTTTTAGTTTGAATAAATTATTCGCCAAGGTGTGAATTTCTTGTTCCACTAATTTCGTAGGGTCGGTGGGGATGATGGTGTAATTCGGATCATTAAGTAGCTCTTGAACTATCTCGTCGTATTTGGTTGTGGACATGATCACTGTCATATTTCCTTTGTCTGCAGGGACGATTGTAATAGATTTATCTTGTTTGAGATTTTTACAAATTGGTTTCAGCCACTCGTAGTTTCTGGACACTTCGTCTGGCTTGTTGATCTCTGAGTGTAATATTCTGGAAATTCCTGATCGAATTTTATTCTTGTGTACTTCCGTTATTTCGAAGTCATTCAAACATAGTTCTATATTTATGCCTGCTTCTATAATAAGGTCCTTGTGTTTGAAATATGGGAGGGCGTAATTTAGACCTAGTTGAAGTGCTTTCGTTTCGTCCTCTGTTAGTTCGCGATGGGATAGATTTACTATACTTTTCTCTATGTCGTGGTGTGTAGCTATTTTGCTGGGAAAGGGTTGATGTCTGGTGGCTTTTGTTGTGATAGTTCCTCTCAGGAGATGGTCAAATTTCTTTGCTTGTAGGTTTTTGGTCTATAGATTGAAAGCCATTTTATCATCACGCATGTATTTTGACACTTTCTCGTTGACAGTTGGAGGAAGAGTTATGAGTTGTTGTTGTTTAATTGAGATCGATTTCTTCAATTTCTCCAATTCAGCAAATTTGAAATGGATTTGCAGTTTAACCAAAGTTTGTTCTGCTTTTTTGAGAAAATCGTTGGATCCAGGAATATGGCACCAATGGTTTTTGATCTTCATTCCTTTTGGGGTCAGATTGTGTGTCCGGCATCGTTTAAGGAATACAATATCATTGTTGAGTTTAACCGTTCGTTGTTCTTCTTTCTCCAAAAGTTTTATGCAGTTCATTATAGACGTGCCGAACCGTCTGGTTATAAAAGTCATACAGAGGGTCCGGATATGCAAACGTATATTTCAGTTTTTTAATTTTCGCCAAGGCGGCGATTTTAGACCTCCAACCTGTCCTGGGCGAAAAATTCCTGTGGGCGCCAAAAAAATCGTACACGGTCCGACCAAAGCTCATTATTCTTCAAAACGCATGTCGCATCCAGTAAAAAATATTGCAAAGTTAAAAAATAATTATCCACGAAGTTTTTTTTTCGACGCCTCAAATTTTTTTAGAAAAATAATCCTGACCTTTGACTTATCTGCGACATTAAAAATCGGCGACGAGGAAATTGTCGGCAGATAGTTTTGACATTTTTGTACGGAGTTCCAAAGTTGAAATATTACGGCATCATGTCGACATAAAAAATATGTCATCGTAGCTATACTTTTGTTACATACGTAGGTGTTTTATTACTAATTTTCAAAAGGTATGTTCCGCACTGTTTCTGACCAAAATTGTGATGAAATAACAAATTTCAAATAAATTTGGGAGGCTGTGATTTTTTTCAGTACTTAAGGTTAACGTCAACACTAGCAATAAATCGGCAAACTTTACCTCGACGGAAAAAATGCTAGATTTGCAAATTAAATATCGTAGTGTGATTTAATTTTTAATGCTGGATAGGCAATACGTGTCGCAGATTTATGGTTGAATGCTTAAAATGTACAATGAAAACTGCCCAACACGAAACACAAATTCAATTGGGTCAATAATCTTTAATTATGGCGAAACGAGGTCTCGGGCAAAAAGTCGCAAGGACGCTCAAAATCCGCTTCTTCCACAGAAAGGCTCCGGAAACTAGAGGAACCAATAATGAGAGATCCGCGATTGAAACTGTCCTATATAGCAGATGGGTGTTCCGAAACCAACAATTTGTTCCATGTTGACTGAAGACTTAGGTATGAAAATGGTTTCCGTCCGTTGGGTACCAAAATTGCTTTCGGCATCTCACAAACAGGACCGAGTCGACTTTTGCAATGCAAATTTTAACCTATTAAATGAAAACTGGAACCTGCTCAATATTTTATTGGCTGCATATGGTACTTGGGTTTACTATTATGACCCGGTGACCAAATAATAATTCCCTCATTGGAAGCTCGAGGGGTTGCCACCGCCCGTGAATTGAAAAGTGCAAAAATCTGACAAAAAAATTGATGATGACCATTTTCAAGGATACCAAAGGTCCCCTCCTTATAAAATTTATTGCTGGAAATACTGCAATAAATGGGGCCGTGTATGCAGGAATCCCGAAGGAGCTGCGTCCTCCGGTTGAAAAGAAACGTGGGGTCAAAATGAAGAGTTGGCCTTTTTTTAGACGACAACGCGCCACCTAATACCTGGCTTTTTGCGAGGGTTAGTGCAGACGAAAATCGCTTAACCTGCACAAACCACGCCCCGTGCAGTCCAGACTTGTCCCTTAGTGATTATTATTCGTTTCGAAACTTAAAGAAAAACATCAGGGGAAAACGGTTTTCGGATGATAATGAAATCAAGTCGTAAATTTTGGCATATTTTCGAGGTAAATTTTAATGAGTTATTGCTAGTGTTAATGTTAACCTACAGAACTGAAAAAAATCACAGCATCCTAAAAGTATTTGAAGTTTGTTATTTCATCAAAAGTTTGGTCAGAAACAGTGCGGAACATACCTTTTGAAAATTAACAATAAAACACCCACGTACTGTATGTAACAGAAGTCTAGCTACGATGACAAAATTTTTATCTCAACATGATACCGTAATGTTTCAACTTTGAAACTCCGTACGAAAATGTCAAAACTATCTACCGACAGTTTTCTCGTCGCCGATTTTTAATGTCGCAGATAGGTCAAAGGTCAGGATTATTTTTCTGAAAAAATTTGAGGTGTCGAAAAAAAAACTTCGTGGATAATTTTTTTTTGAAATTTGCAATATTTTTTACTGGATGCGGCATGCGTTTTGAAGAATAATGAGCTTTGTTTGGACCGTGTACGATTTTTTTTGACGCCCACAGGAATTTTTCGCCAAAAAGAGGTTGAAGGGCTAAAATCGCCGCCTTGGCGAAAATTCAAAAACTGAAATATACGTTTGCATATCCGGACCCTCTATATGCAAACGTATATTCCAGTTTTTGTTCAACACTTAGGTATTGCGTCTTTAATTAAGCGAGTAAAGTATTTCGAGCGAGTAAAGTATAATAAGACGAACCCACAGAGAGCTATTTAAGACTCGGAAATTTGCGTCTTCAGAACACTATTTATTCACATTATTTAGAGTCGCACGATTTTTTATAGGAACTTTTACTGATTTAAGGATAGAAATGTAAGATAGAAATACAGTAGACGGTATCAATCATTCATATTTAATACCTGTTATAAATCAAATTTGTAATAATTTATAGAGGCCACTAAGTATACCGTTGGGATGGCTGTTACTTTTATTGTTGTGATATGGTGGGCGGAGTAAAAACTATACAATAATTGTTAATAACATATATTGACACCTTCATACCCACAAAGATAGACACACTTCCAATTAAAATTTCAGCCAAATCAGAGGATTATTTTTCACACCTAGTACTCAGTAACACTTAAGTACTCACATAAAGTGTTGACATTGTTATTGTGTGCATCTCGATTAGTGTTTGAAACCTAATTGCGACGATGAAACTTTAATTTTTATTGTTTTGGGGCGGGTTTTGTAACACTCATTATAACATTTGTAACATGACATTACAACATCATCATATAATTGCCAAATTTTTCGCGCACTGAAATATAACCCCGACTTAACACATGCATATAAGTAGGTTCGATCTTCAATTAAAAAACATATTAAGGAAAGCCTGGCTGAAACACCACAAACCATGAAAATAGTAATTACTGCTCCATTCAAATTCATTGCAGAAGTTGTAATTAAAGTATCATTTTCGACTTGTCTCCTTATTCCTTGACATATTCCTTGACATATTCCTTGACATTTCCGTTTTTAGTCTAGAATAAATCCCGGACGAGACTAACGCTTGGAAATTCCTTTGCACGTTGGAAACACTGCTTTTCGTGCTTTTTCCCCCGCCGTGAAATGTCCATCCATATCTATCCAAATCCACGTTGCTTTTATCACTGATTCCGCGACCAGAATAAAACTTTTTGGATGGGTAATGTTTAGATAGAAACTGCTTTTCACCCCAGATTCCTTCAGACATCGCGATGAAGACGCTTTTTTTATCACAGTTAATGATATCCTTCTCTACTAACACGATCATTTCGGCTGTAGAGTAGTTTGAATTTGTTGTTACGTGTCCCGTCGGAATCACATCGTGAACTGGATTCATAAGAAGCAGACTAATTAAGTCTTCCCTGCTAAAATCTAAAGGAAATTTCTCTTTAGACAACAATGGTACATACCTATACGAAAATTCTATAAGTTTTACGGTAAACCACGAGTATGACGTCAGTTTGTAGCCATCAGAGATTCCAGTTAATGGAGGAGATACAAGCCTATAACAATGATGTAATGCAAACTGGTTTTTAAAAGTTGGAAAGGATGTTAATGTGTCAAACTTGCCCCAATATGCAAAATATTTATCAAA